CCCCCCCCCCCCCCCCCCCCCTGCCGCCCGCTGCGTCTCCAGCTCCACCGCCTGCTCTGGGCCCAGCAGCTTCCTCTGCACGAAGGCCTGGACCTGAGAGAGGGGCAGGGTGGGCAGGAGAGCACGGCAGTGCCCTCTAGTCCTGATCTGCAACCCCCACTAGCCCTCCCCCCAGCCCTGCTGGTGCCCCTCAATCCCACCCCACAGCCCCTGCTAGCCTAGCCCTGCTGGGGGAACAGCTAACAAAAGCCCACGTCTATCCTCAGCATGCCTGGACCCAGGGATCAGCTGAGTTAGTCCACAAGATCACGATGGGACCCCCTTCCACAGAAGCAGCATGGCCTCTGGGCTTTGGCACCTTATGACTGTGGCACCTGGAGGAAGACATTTGGATACAAAACATCCGGGGAGAAGGGACCCTAACGGAGACAAAACGAGGCTGGTGTTTGCTTCACAGCCATGAAATGAAATAGACATTGGGAGGGCAAACGACCAGCTGCCCAGTTATTGCCAGCACTAGGGAAAAGCTGCCACATCTCCTTGCCAATGGTTGGAAGGCTTTCCGAGTGTCAGCAAAGGCCAGGTCGGAGGGGTTCCCCAATCCCTTAGCTGGTTTCCCCGGCATAGACACAAGTGCTCAGATCAGGTGCATTAGAGGCTTAATCTGTATTAAACAACATGTGATTTTAAACAGACAACACCGGCTGGTTCCCTGAACAGCAACACGTTGCACCAATAAACTTACAAGACCAGACACAGCCCATGGAATGAGCACAGAATGGGACGCCTGTTCTAGACCCCTGCGCTGGCCGCCTTATAACATGGAACAGCCCATGGAGGTGTCATCTAGGTTGGATATTAGGAAGAGCTATTTCCCTAGGAGGGGGGTGAAGCACTGGGATGGGCTCCCTGGGGAGGGGGTGGAATCTCCATCCCTAGAGGTTTTTAAGTCCCGGCTTGACCAAGCCCTGGATGGGATGATTGAGTTGGACTTGGTCCTGCTTTGGGCAGGGGGTTGGACGCGGCGACCTCCTGAGGTCTCTTCCAACCTTAGGAGTCTATGATCTGCCAATGCCCAAGAAGCAAGAAACCTTGGAGGTGGGGGGATCTCAGCAGCTGACAGACTGGGTCCCCCATTTCCAATGTGCCACTGTCCACATGGAGGAGAGCAACCTAACAGGCTTCAGCATTTGCTTCAGGCTGCCACGTGAAGGGACACCCGTTTTGGGAGCTCTTGCTCTGCCTCTGTGGAAGGCCCAAGCCATTTAGGGAGGGATAGTTCATGGCAAAAGCAGAAACGGGGAGACAGGCTGAGCACAAAGCCCAAGAGATCTTCAGGGCCAGTTACAATGCCAAGCTCATCTCATGCCTTCCTTCCCTCCCCCGCCGCCGGTATCTGCAGGGAATTGGTTACGGTGGGAGTGCCATCTTGCCTTTGCTATCCCCTGCTGAGTTATCTAGACAGGGCCTAATCCAGCCTGCAGTCCCACGCACCAAGGTGAAGGTAGCCATGCTACAGTGCAGCCACGCCGTGGCACTGGTGGCAGGGACGTGGAAGAGAGCAAGTGGGGTCTGGGGGTCCATAA